AGCCCCTTACGGGCCCCAAATTCGTGCTTCCAACCTTGCGCTTCAGGTCCCCAAAGGATGGAGTGAGTGGTTCTTAAAAAGTCACTGGCGACCGTTTTGGCCGTTGCCTGAACCGTCTCCAAGCCTCGCCCGCAGACACCTCCGTTTGGACTGGTTTCAGGGTTTGGAGAGGGGAGGGGAGTGGCAGGGGGCTTCCGGAATTCGCCCGCGGACGGAGACCCCAGGACTGAGCAGGGGGTGTGGGTTTGCTGAGGGGACTCCGGCCTCCGGGGCGCGCTGGTTTTCCCGCCGTACAAAGCGGGTTATTGTCACCAGTGAGGGCTACAAGGTGCTCCTCCCGTGGGGTCCCACACCCCAACCCTTCAGGGGCTGGCCTGGGGGGATGGGAGCGGGCTGTCCCGAAGGGTCTGGGGGGGGAGAGGCTTCGAGAGCAGGTCAGGAACAGTTTGTTGAGAACGCGCAAGCTTGTAACCCGGAGTCCCTGTGCCTCCTGAATTTGTGGGCAAAACGCACATTGGAGCCTTTTTGTGGAGAGAGGGCCCCAAACGGTCGCCAGATTCTCAAAGGGGCTCAATGTTCCCAGATGCTTCAGAACCTGGGTGTCCTGGCCGACCACCCGAGTGAGACCGGAGGCCCGAGCCTTTCCCCCGGGCCCCGGGGGGACTCTGGACATGACCCAGAGAATGCTGAGCAGTCCTCCGGGTCTCCCAAGCCGCTGGGGCTCAGCTTTCTGGGTTCCAGGCCCAGGGGAGGCCGGTGCAAAATCAGGGGCTCAGGGGGCGCAGGGCTGTACTCGGCAGGACGCAGAGGCCGAAGGACAGGGCCTGAGCCCTCCGTGCGCGCTTCCGCGTCCAGGTTTCCATCCCCGCGTCCAGGTTTCCGTGCCCGCGCCCAACTCGCCAGCCCCTCGGTGCTCCAGCCGACGCCCAGGTCCCGACGCCCAGGTCCAGGCATCTCCCCGGCTTGGTGGCCGCCGGGTCTCAGCCATTGCGCGCTCTGGTCCCTGTCGCCCCTGCACCCTCGCCCTGCGCCTCTCCAGCCTCTCCAGCCTCTCAGCCTCCGGGTCTCTGACTTTGTCTCTGACGCATCCCCGGGTCTCTGGGCGCATCCGTCTCTCCAGACCTTCCGTCCCGTTCTCGGGTCGGGTCTCTAGCTGGGTTTTCACGCGTGTGTCTAACCGCGCGCAGCCCTCTTGGCATCTCCTAGACTATCTGCCTGACTCGACCTCCGACCTCTCCGCGCCATCCCTGGGTCTCTTTTCTTGTCTCCGACTCGTGCAGCTCGGTCCCCTCTTCTGTCCCCCTTCACTCTGTCCCCTGCGGATCTCTCACCGTCTCTGTCTCTCGCAGTTTCCGTGTCTCCCACTCTCTGCGTCTCTCTCGCCAACTCTAAGACTCTGTCTCTGCGTCTCTCTCCATCTCTGAGTCAGGGAACTTCCTGTCCTCCGCCGTCTCCGAGCCTCCCCGGGCGCATCTCTCCGTCTCTCCGAGTTTAAGTCTCTCCCCATTACGGCGTCTCTCCTTGGCCGTCTCCCCAACTTGACCCCCGGGTCTGCGTCCGCGCCGCTCCGGGCCTCCCTCTCCCTGGGTCTCTGCAGGCCTCTCCGCGGGTCTCCAACCTCGAGTCCGCGTCGCGTTGTCCCCGGTGAACGTCCTCTCCCGGCGGCCCCAAGCCTGCGGGCGCGTCCCGGGCCGGGGTCTCCCGGGCCCCCTCCCCAGCCCCGCGAGTCCCACCCTGCCCCGGCAGTCTCTCACCGCGCCCTGTCTCCTCCCGTGCCCTTCGCAGACTACCAAGGCGACTACTACGCGCCGGGAGGCAACTACGACTTCTTCGCGCACGGCCCGCCGTCGCAGGCGCAGTCCCCGGCCGACTCGAGCTTTCTGGCT